GATGGGCAAGGCTGGAAGTCTTAGAGGCTGGAAGTCTGAGAGCTGATAGCAAGGGTAGAGTGGATGGCTGAGGGCTTGGGACTTTCAGTATTAGAGGTCTAAGGATCCCATGGGGTTGAAGGACATAGCTTCTTAATGGTCCATATTGCTATTGGGTTTATTGTAGCCCTTATAAGATTGAGACTAAAAGGCCCCAAGAGGGAACTTTGTATAAGGAGCTTGGAAGATGTTTAAGACTGGCAGGGCTTCCACGTAGGATGAGGCTGTAATGTAAAATCTAAAGATGAAAAACAGATGCACCTTAAACTCTTGCAGTGTAAAATGGCCCAGATTAGGAGAAGGGTCACGTGGCAAAGTACTACAGTTTTACAAATAGATATACATGTACGAACAAGTTGGGCTAGTTTTAAATAAATGAACATTTATTTCACTTGCAAATAGAAATTAACTGGTTATAGCAATAAATGGTGATTGTTTTATATACACACAAAGCATTTTTGCAAGGTAATATTTTCAAATGAAACAAATTTCATGTCAGTGCTAAAAGGTCCTTAGAATGCACTAAAAGGTGTTTAGTAAAAATATTGTTTTAGACATAAATTTCAAAACTGGTTAAAATTTAAACTTTTTGGCTGCAAAAAACTAGTTTTATAACTAAAAAACTGTTTAAATCAAATATTTCTTTCATGGACAGAGTAAGTCCCTTAGAGTGTTTTCAAAAATTACATTTTTGCAGTAATGACCTTTCAGCACTGAGCCAACAATTTGCGACTTGCAGTTTTGTGATAATTTTAAGTGAAAGACTTTTAAGCGTTCTGGCATTGTGGATGTACCGTACAACTTGGAAAATACAAAATGCACATAGAATTTTGTCCAAGGAAAAACTTACAAAGATGAACAAAGAAATTGACTGGAGCAGGACTTCAACCTGCAACCTCTGGAACACCGTACCAGTGCTCTACCAACTGAGCTATCCATCCCTATGTTGGTGGTTCTTTCTATTTGGCAATATCTCTGTTCGGGGGGGGGGGTGAACTTGTTAAAAGTGAGGTTCAGAACAGCCACTGGGTTGACTGCACAGTGCTGGTATTTTGGCTGTCCGAATGGAACACTATTTAATTTTTAAAAGCATGCAATAGTTACAAGCTTTTAGTCCTCAAAAGAGATAAACATCAAAGTGTCTAGAGTCTTTCCAAATGGTAATTATTTGCAAATTTTGAAATACATGTATAGCATCTTGATAAATAAAATGTAAATATGAATGTTGTTAAATGTGCATTAATATGAGTCAAAAGCAAGCTGACAAATTGTCTATTCAATTTACAGAGTACCTCCTTAGTTATGAATAATTTAGATATAAGTTCTACAGTGCAACGTTGCTATACTGAACAATGTGGTATACGGAACATGCCTCTTGGCTCCAAAATTTTCTGTGCAATTTCACTGAACATCACAAATTTGCTTTAAATTAAAAGAAAAAATGTAGGACTGATGACAGTGACTCAAAAGATGTCAATAAACTTTGAAATTGGAATGGCCATGTTATGAGCCCATGGCAAAACAAGCAGCCGCACAAGAGAATCTCTTTTGCATTATCAAGAACACACGTGTATGTATGTGTAACAAAGGAAATAGCACCCTCTTTTTTCTGCAAATAGCGCCCTCCTTTGCCCGGAATTCCCCCTTTTTTATGGAAATAAGAATATTTTGATTTTTAGGCCTACGAAAATGCTGAGATACATACATCGTCAAAGTGCTTCATTTCTGTGATGCAGAATCACAAAAAGTGCCCTCACATTACCAGAATATACTCGTAAACAGTGCCCTCATGTTACCGCGATATCATTATAACTCATAAACAGTGCCCTCACATTACTTCAATGTCATTCTAACTCATAAATGACGCGTTCACATTACCACGATATCATTATAACTCATAAACAGTGCCCTCACATTACTTGGTTAAAACTCAAGTTTCAGAAAATGTTCTTGCCAGAAAATAGCCAAATTAAATGGTGCTCCTTGTTTGCAATATGGATACCAGTTGTTTAAATTATTAATCACTACATATGATCCTTTTATTAGTGTACAAATGCAGCTAGACTGGCTCCATCACTAAGGTGGAAGCAAGGAACTGCATCTCTGAGAAGATTGAGTCCACTCCTTGCCTTTTTGTGAATCAATGCCTAAGGTTCTGAAGAGGATCCCTCATGCAATCTTGGAAACTGTTCCTCCTCAGTGATGGAGGCGAGGACTGGCATCTGAGTTACTTCCTCTCTTTGACATTCTGATGAATCATCTCTGTGAAGTCTCATAGGAACTTGTCCTCCATCTTCCTTCTGTCCAGGTTGAAGGAGGCGAGGGCGCTCTTCTCATCAGCATCAGCTTCTCCTGGGGCATACCCACAGCTTTCATATGAGGAGGTCTGGGGAAGACATAAATCACAAAAGGAACTAATTGAGACTTGAAATTGAGACATTTCTTCACAAATTCTAGGATCCTTGTACGCTCCTTGTTTTTACACCTTTTATTTCATAAAAAACTGTGTCTATTGCTCCTTTTTAGGACATGAGCCCAATTGGCCCCTCCCCCCTTTCCCAGATTCATCCTTGCAGAAAGCCAGCAATGATATGAAACAGAGGACTCTTACCTGTCCTACTTATGATGTAACCTGTTCTTCACTTTGGAGATATCGTCGGTCTGTCCACTCGCACCATGACGCTAGCCAACCTCAGCGTTCATGTAGGCAGCCATGGCAGTACATTCACCTGGCAATGAGGCCTTCCCAAATCTAACCAAAGGTCACCTGTTTTTCAGTCACACTGCAATAATAATTTTTTCCACAAATGAGCAAAACATTCACGTTTCAACCCATCACCACATAGACTCTTATTGTGGGTCGCTATTAAGATCCATAAAACCATACAGTGCTGGGGTGTGCAGGGTATAACAGGCTGGGTGGGGTCAGGACCCAATTTCATGGGGCTTCTTAACACAGTCAAAAGAAAAACTGTGCCAACTTTAGCAGAAAAATGTACCACCCTTGAGCACTACATGTATTTCATGGCGGTGCTCGGGGTGGTTGTGCTAATGGCTGTACAGTCTATAATTTGTAGTTATCCAAAAGGTATCCACAATTGTTGTTGAAAAGCATACTTGGTTTCGATAGAGGACTAAATTCTGTGAGAAACTGTTCTTCCTGACAAACAGTCATCACAAAGAAACAATGATTTCGAGCAGGCATCTTCTCAAATTTTTGGAAAGTCACTATTAGAAATGCATGCAAGCGTTGACACGATGCACAGACACTAGCAGTTTCTATAATTCATTAGTTCAGGGGGTGACAAGGTGTAGCTGTATTCGACTGACTAATATGAGAACGTTTCCCAGATGCTGAATTCAGGCACAATTTAAAACACGACTCAGCAACTTCTGATCTGAAATTTAAGTCCTAGAATAGTTTTCTCTGAATATGGAGCATGCACTGTTAAGCTGAAACTTCATCTTCATCAGATTCGTTCTTGTGTTCCCTTCTTTAAATTTTGAATAATTTTGTTGCTTAAAAGGAAAATAATCCAAAAGACAAATGGTGCAATGTACCTTTAAACAAATTGTTGCGACAACTAAAATCATGACTACTATTGTCGTAAAACAAGAGATGGCTTACTTTATTGGGGCAGTGATGCCAGAAGATGAGCCCACAGGTAGGGGACCAACCATGCTGCTATCACCTTTAACACCTGGTAAAAATACAGTAACAAAAAGGGAGCAGTTATATCTGTATGCATTGTAATAAATGTACTTTTTTGAGCATATCTCTAGCAGAGTTGTGGGTTTTAAGGTGATGTCCAAAAGGTGTGGCTGAGGCTAGAGAGGTCAACCAAGAATGTATACTTTTCTGCTGCCATTCCCAACTTCCAAGTGATTGTCAGACCATATGACAGATAAAACTTCAACATTTGTATTTAGAAGGTAATTCATGCATACAAAGTATGTAAAAAATATCCAGCATTGGACACGTGACAGACTTAATGACTTTCCGCCGGCAGTCTGCTGTGAGAAACATGTCACATTACAGTACAAACTTCAACTCATTAAACTGTAAACTACTAAGTCAATCATGGAAACTTTCAAAATTCCATGAACAGAATTGATTTGAATGATTCCATGCAAATCCTTTTGTATTTGGACAATTAGCCTACAAACATACCAAGGAGGGTTCCAAACCTTGTCGTGTCCTTTTTTCCCATTTTGCGCATGCCACGGCACCACAGACATACAAACGCATACATGTAGACCACCAGCCTTATGCGGTAAAATAAAATTAGAAATCAGGGAGGGGGCTTGGGCCAAGTCCTGGTAGCCAAGATCTCATTGTTCGAGTTTGAGTCCAGAAGGTCCAAGTTCAATGGTAAACATGCAAAGCTGAGACGGCTTATCAGAGTTACATGAAGACGGTGAAATAAAATGTTTAAACAAGCCAAGGCTATATCCTTGTTCTTCAAATTTAGTCAAGGCTGTAGCCTTGCTATTTATTAAAGTTGGTGGCTTTGGTCTTCAAATGTATCAACAATCACTGCTAAAACCCTATTCTTCATTTTTAGTCTAACCGTGGCTATAGCCTTGGTCTCCAGTCATAATCACCAAGACTTCAGTTATGGTCATCAGTTCTATTTGATANGATGATTAAAGCCACAGGTGAGTGGCTTCAGTCATTTGCCACAGACTTATGTAATTCTGTCAGCCTAAGCCAGCTGATTCGGAAAGGTCCATCTTTCAGCCAGTTGACACATGTACAAACAACAGGAGGTACCCAATGACTGCTTTTTCAACTTAACAAATTGTGAAAACTCTGGCTGTGTGAGTGGAAATTTCTTGAAGAACCTCTGAATTTTACCTTAAAGAGCTGTGGGGGAGGTGCAGATTTTCAGGAAACCTTCTGGAGTTTTTTGAATAACTCTTTTTGGTCATTCTGACACCATTTTTGTGAAAATCCAACATGCCATCCTTGCACAGCACATTTTTTTCTGAGAGGTCAACCAAGAATGTATACTTTTCTGCTGCCACTCCCAATTTCCAAGTGATTGTCAAATCACATGACAGATAAAACTTCAACATTTGTATTTAGAAGGTAATTCATGCATACAAAGTATGTAAAAAATATCCAGCATTGGACAGCCCAATTCTTGGGGGATTGCCGCCGGCTGTGAAGTGGTCCAATGTAACCAAGCTCTTCTAGGGTTAAGATGTTAGGAAGTACCAGGGCCAAATCTACCTGCAAAAATTGATTTCTTCACAGATGACAAATATGACTGACAAGTGACAGCTTTTCTACCTGCTGTTTTCTCCATCCACTGTTCTTGCTCCTCATCACTGCCAGAGTGGCTGTCACTTGAGTCCTCACTGGAACTTGAGTCTCTCTTGAGCCCACTTCTTGAAAAGAACAAACAGGAGATAAAATACCGATGTCATCACTGACTCTTGGTGTTAACGTACGGTTTTCCTCCCAACAATCACATTGTACTGAACAATCTGTGTGCATCACAGGCACAGTGCACATGCACGGGCCAATGGCCAATTTAGCAAGGTCAGTTTGTTCATATATTGAGGAGGGGGTGGAATCTTGTTATTGCACGAGTGGCCTCTGAGCTGCGTGACTGGATTGATACCATCGGGCCAAGTGCTGTGCTAGCTGTCACAGGTTATAGTTAAACAATGCTACCTCCTGAAATAGTCGAAATGACTTGCGGAACTAGCTTGGCTATGCTGGCTCCTGGCTGTCGCTGCATGTGCACTGTGTGATGCACACAAGATGTAGGGTACAGTGCAGTCGTTGAGAAGAAAACGCAGAATGATGAGGAAACCCTCTGTGATTTTTGGTGTAAAAACCTCCTTTAGACTGGTTACCTCAAGCTTAATGGTTGCTCTCATTCTTAAGGGAAAATTGGATTGAAAAAAGTGGAATTTATGTAACTTATCTACCCCCAGAACTGAGGGGTCTGACGTCTTGTGGACATCGGACCCAGCACAGACACGTGACAGACTTAATGACTTTCCGCCGGCAGTCTGCTGTGAGAAACATGTCACATTACAGTACAAACTTCAACTCATTAAACTGTAAACTACTAAGTCAATCATGGAAACTTTCAAAATTCCATGAACAGAATGGATTTGAATGATTCCATGCAAATCCTTTTGTATTTGGACAATTAGCCTACAAACATACCAAGGAGGGTTCCAAACCTTGTCGTGTCCTTTTTTCCCATTTTGCGCATGCCACGGCACCACAGACATACAAACGCATACATGTAGACCACCAGCCTTATGCGGTAAAATAAAATTAGAAATCAGGGAGGGGGCTTGGGCCAAGTCCTGGTAGCCAAGTTCTCATTGTTCGAGTTTGAGTCCAGAAGGTCCAAGTTCAATGGTAAACATGCAAAGCTGAGACGGCTTATCAGAGTTACAAGAAGACGGTGAAATAAAATGTTTAAAAAAGCCAAGGCTATATCCTTGTTCTTCAAATTTAGTCAAGGCTGTAGCCTTGCTATTTATTAAAGTTGGTGGCTTTGGTCTTCAAATGTATCAACAATCACTGCTAAAACCCTATTCTTCATTTTTAGTCTAACCGTGGCTATAGCCTTGGTCTCCAGTCATAATCACCAAGACTTCAGTTATGGTCATCAGTTCTATTTGATCNGCCACAGAATGCCGGTACACATGCATCTTATTTCTTAAACATCTGGCAGGTCAAGAATTGTACTCTGCAATAAGGAAAACCGGCAGGATAGAGGGAAAAGTTTTTCCTGGATAATTTTTTGCAAGGCTATAGCCTTATGTTTTTATTACATTTTGCCCCAAAAATGTGGCCTATAAAAACGATCTCGGCCAGCACTGAACAAAGGCAGGGCTTCACTGAACAGGGTTTTACAGACATGAAAATCTGGTAGGACTATAACCTTGTGGTATTTATTCATTTATGGCCTAAGCGCAGAAATAAATGCATCTTTGCATAATGGATACCGCCCTCAACCAGAGTGCACTGCCACTTCAGAGGTCAAAAAGTGGAAGATGAAGTGATGAATAAGCAGACTAGAAACAAAGTATGATATGGTCAGTTGAAATTCAATACCAACAAATAACGATCATGCAGTTTTCTCACATGCTTTGGAAATCATTTATTAATGCTCTTTTCATTTTTTTTATATGGGGCCCCTTCAAAAACAAATTGATTCAATTCAAAAGAAAACAATGTGAAATTCCTACATCTGAACGACCACAAATGATAAATCAACCAATTGCTCGAAATCATTAACTGAAAAAATGCAATAAATAAAACCTTTGGTAGTCATCAACACAATGAAGGATCACCATATTTGACACAATATTCTTTAATAGAGCTTCTCTCCCATTTAACTGCTCTCAAGGGTCCTGTCACAGATTCACAAAAATATATTTAACATAGTGTTATTAAAAACCAGTGTTGTAGTCGAGTACTACCAAGTACCAAGTTCTCTGCCAAATATTTCACGAGAACAAAGCTGAAGTACATGAGGACTTGATGGTACATGCATAAAGGTAAGATAAAGTTAAATGACTTCAAACTATCACTGTAAAAAAAAAATCCAGTTTAGGGGACTAAAGTACTCAAGTACTTGGCCGAGAACTTTCCAAGTACATTTCTCCTTAAAACTCAAATTTTACAAAACCGGGAGTGTCTGAAGTCTCACATTTGTGGCCTGATCTGCAGAAAGCTTTATTCCCTCTTACCCAGTTCAATACTTGGCAGGGGGCCTCGGTACTAGAAAAAGTACTCCACTACAACACTGCTAAAGCTGATAAAAGTATATGATTAAAACTCTCAACTGTAGCTGGGTCTAGCTGTTATATGGGAGGGGGCAGTTTTTTTTGGGGGGGGGAGTTATAAATCTTTAATCACAATATCTTTATAGGTATGCACATTAGTAAAAAACACTTTAAAACCTGCTCAGTGAATTACTACTTACAACAGTCTGTATCATTAAAATTGGAGAAGGGAGAAACAAATCGTCATTCTCAAAAGTGACTGCACAGGTACTGCAGTGACAAACTTTTTTTTTCTGCAAGTACAGTCATTCTGTCCACATTAAGGAATGATAAAAAGATGTGGACAGGCCAACATTTTGAGATCAGCGATGGAACTCTGTCCATAAATACGTTATTAATGACCTCCATGATGTCTCTTTGCCTTGCATTTTTTTTCACCTTTAACCCTCCTTCTGTTTTAACCGTCAAAAACAGTCAAAAATGCCTTCCAATTGATTTCCCCCAGTACACAGACACATATGGAAAATTTGACTGATATGACAACTGTGTCAAGAATGCATCTTAGCATAGGAGGGTTAAACTGATATTTAAGTAATGTGTCCTGGTCACCTTACCCTACCCCGTTCCTGTCATTCATGATCATTTTAACAAAATAAGGATATGTACTAAAAATACTCACTAAATTACAGCAAGTCATCGTTACAAATCACATAATGCAACTCTCAAGGCATTGTTATGGTTTTTAATACTACTTTTGTCAAAACTTACTTTAAAAAAAGACATCTGAAAATACAAGCTCTGCTTCACGTTTCGTTGTAATGCTAGCTCCACCACTGATGGCAGAATGTATTGCACATTTGCAAAAAAAAATGACTCAGGAAAGAAAATAAAAGCACCATCCTTAATTTTCTCATGAATATCACGATTGGAATAAAGACCATCTTTATGCGATGGTCTCAGCAGCAATGTGTGGTGGTGGTGGTGGGCTTTGTGTTTTCACAGGGCACCAATTGGTAATTCTAAAATCTTGTGGGTAACTTTTGTGGAAGGGTGGATATACTTAAATTTCCAACAGTCAGGGGTGAGATTGACCCATGATAAAAATAGCTGAAAACAGGTGAAAAAAAAAGGCATAGAGAAGCTGAACTGTGAAAATCTCCTATACTTTTGTACACAGCCAGTGAGGAAAAAAAAAGAAATCCAAAACAAAAAAGGCTGAAATCAGCTAAAAAGCTGAGAAATCTCACCCCTGTATAGTAAGCCTTTGTCCAAAGCAGTCATTCCACAGCTGGTGCTTACAGGCTGGCTGCCTGACCCAAAACAAACAGCTGAAGCCTTTAGAAGAGCAATGCTGTTTTGCATTTGGCTTGACTTTCGGGGGGGGGGAGGGGGAGATAGAATGGGTTGTCTAATTTGAACCTTCTGCTCATGTAAAAAACTCAAGAGATTTTAACAAATGTTGCCAATTCCCAGGTACCATTCTATTTCAAAATGATGCTGTTTCAGCTATGTCGATATTCAACTTGGGGACGTGGGCTGAAAATTATGATTGTTTATCAAAATCTCAGCAACAATTCTAAAAAAAAACCCCACATTACATCAGGGCAAGAGTGAACGCTACAATAAAACTTCAACGGTGAGATAATAAAATTCAGGGATTCGTTGGGCTCGATTCTTCAACAGTGCGCAATTGAAATATATTCTGGTAAACCCCTAAACTTAAACATCATTGGCATCACTTACTCAGCACAATATGCAAATGCAAAATCAACAAAATAAAAAAAAATGGAACAGTTCCTGACAAAATGAAAACTATATGAAGAAGTCCGCATTCGCTGACTTGCACTAAGATGGTATGCTTTTTGTTGATTACTTCATTTTGAAATCTACTTTCAATTTTATTCAATACTGGCATCAGTCATTTTCGATAATGTCACGTACTTCGCAACCTCAAATTGGTGGGATGTGTTTCAAGCCGCATACTCCCTACTTCCCTACAAACAAGAGTAACCACTACTCAATCGGCCACAAAATAATGAACTGTCATTAAGTAGAATGATCCAGTGGCCAAAAATAAAGGCAAAACTACTCTGAAAATTTGATGTGAGGTCAGTTGCACTAAAAAAAAGGCTCTACTGTACATTTCACAAGCAGAGTGGGCCACAAAGTGAATGGGGGATTTCACCTATATTGGCTCTAAGAAGCATGGACTTAACCACTTGCCTTCGCAGTTCCCGGTACCGGGTACCTCAGGTATGTACGCATAGCCGGGGTAATGGAAATTGGACAAAGGAGCTTGGCCTTATGACAAAAGACCACACTTGGAACAAATGACCGAACTGCTGGGAATTGCCATCATTTTTCAGTTGGCATTAGTGAAAGTAATTCGTCATTGTTTTGAAACAGTATACCACTGTTTGTGGCATTCAATGCCAGCAGATTATCAGTGGGGGCAAAAACGCTCCAACAATAAGCTATACAGTACTGCTGCACACTGATCTGGCTGCATTTGAAATGACACCACTGCCATTCAGCAATGCACTGGGCCAATTTCAGGAACAAAGGAAATTAGGCAACACCGCACAATCTCTATTGGGTGGGAGGCCTGGCTGCAATACCCAGGCATCAAGGGAGGTTGCCTGTCAGATTAGAGTAGCAACCAAACAGTCATTCGTGTGGGTGTAAATGTTCAGTAAATTAAGTTATAAATTTGTGAAGAATTTTGAAAACGGAAAATTTTGAAAATCGCCCGGGAACTCATCCCGGATGTGCAAATTCCACCTGGTATTAAGTGGTTAATCTCAAAAAAGTATTTGGGCTTTGTCAAAATCAACTGGCTTTGGCTGGGAATAACAGGCATCCCTAAGGGAAGTCGCTGCAGCCACAGCAGCAGCCATAACACTGGGATGTAGCCGTCACCAGAAGCAAGGGGGTCGAGTGCCACTCTTGCCAAATTCTCCTCAAACTGGCCTTTCTTTTAAAGGAATGACAGCACTTCATTCCTGTCAAAGATGTCATGCTTACATTATAAAATATGACAAATCTGTACAGATGTATTTTTGGCACAATATTTATGTACAATTTTTTCTTTTAAATCGACAGCTACTTTTACTAAAATGCTTTTCTCCACGCTTCACTGAAAAAGAAAAAAAAACAGGAAAAAAAGCTCGCTGACAGACAGAAGACAGACCCACTGGCTCTTAATCTTAATTTAAAAATACAACAAACTTTGGTGGGTTACGATATGCATAAATGACCAAAATAAAATCGCAACAAAAATCTTTGCATAAGAATTCACAATGAGAGTGCCAATTTTTTCAATTCAACAGTTAATACTCACAATAATGATTTAATTACAGCATGATTTGGTTACCAACTGTCCTGGGAAGTTTTGCATTGGCAGGCAATCAAACTATGTGCCAGTGCTTTGACCCGAAAAAGCAATCTGCTCCTTCAGGTTTAGTACGTACAATTCAAAGTATGCCTAACATCACACTCTGAATTCATCCACACTTCAAGCATACTTTTTCTTTTCACAATTAAAAAAAACCCAATTTGCATACTCCCCAAAAATTGATCTTTGATCAATATGTAAAGGAAAAACCTGCAGGTGAATCCCAAAACTAATTATGTATGCATTGTTTATATTACTATTAACGGACTGTTCTAAATTGGAAATGAAGCAGTGCACTTTTAGTAAGCAGTCTCAGGACAAACAAACAAGCAAACAAACAAACAAACAGTGAAATGGAAAAGTGGAAAATTGTGCTTAAGATCATTCTGCTGTCTTTGATACAAAAATACAATGTAAATCTGTCCAAGTACAAACAGTGATGTACAAAAAGACAGGCGATAACGCTGACCGGATTACTAGACTCAGATGCTATAAGTCAAGGGTCAGGGGTCATTCACACTATTGAAAACAACCCCCTTGGGAGAAGGAATCAAGGTTCCTTGATGCCCAAGCTGCAAACTGTGACTGGTAGGTTAAGAGATCGGGGATGGGTCAAAGGTCACAGGCGAAGCGTCACGGTGTACTAGCTGGCCTCCGTCATGGTGAAGATAAGGTAGATGATAAATTGGATTAATGTGATGACTACCAGGAATGTGCCGAAGGACTTGATGCCCCCACTGCCTCGTTTGACGATGTGGAGTGGTACTAAAACCCTGCACGGATGGGGAAGGGGAGGGGCAGAGAGAAGAGGAAAGACATGAGTACTGTGGTGGGAACATGTAGCTGGTTTCCATACACTATTCCACGTGTTCTTTAACCTCAGAAATGTCAACCAGGCCACATTTACATGTACACCCCCACAGGATTGCCATGCCTGCTGACAATTTAGGTGAGCCATAGTCCCTGAAGCCGAGATGACACCCTGCCCGGGACGAGAGCCCAGCGGCAGACATTGGCACGATTAAAATATAGGTCTCTTGCGTTTCCCAGCTTTTTGAAATGGATTTCAATGAAAAATGAAAACATTTTCTGCCCTTAATGAATTTGGATTGGATTCCGAAGAGAAGTAAATTGTACACCGATTACAGAAATTTCAACCCATGTCCTTAAGCCTTCTAATACTCACCCTTTTATAAAAACAAATATTAAGGCTGATATAACTATAAACTCCAAAAACGTTACAGCTGGAGACTGCTTTCTGGAAACGACAAGGAAAACAACAAAGAAAAATCACATTACTTATTGGCTGTTATTCCAAATTAAAACGTTGAAGAGCAAGCAGTTTTATCGCACAGCGTCAGCTTTTCGCAAATCAATTTTTAGAAAGCCCGCACAGGTTACAAACAGGCAAGAGACTGGAAGTTCAGAGGAATTCTCCAACTGAGCAAGATTTTTTATATATTTCCTAATTTATATTTTATAAGTGTTTTATACATTTGTCATGGCATACTTGAGAAGTGAGCAATGAGGAAATCGGCAGATCTGAAGAAAAGTTGCATATACCTGTAAAAGCTACGTACATGCAATCATGCTCGACAGATTTAACCACTTCCTGCCAGGTAGCCCGGTTTCAGGCACCTTGTGTTTATATGCGTGGCTGGGGTCTCCGAAATCGGACAAAGGGAACTGGGCCTTGTAACAAAACACCATACTCGAGATTTTTTTACTCTCAATAGTAGAGATAATCAAGCCTTGTTTTGAAACAGTATACCACTGTTTGGGGCATTTAGTGCGAGCGGATTACCATCGGGAACAAAAGCGCTCCACCACCACAGCTATGAGCCACACAGCACCACTACACGCTAATCTGGCCCCATATGAAAAGAGGTCACCAGCGCACTGTGCCAGGTTCGTGAACAAAAGAAAGTTACATAAAACCGCACAATCTAGGCTCTTTTTACAAGGTTTGTCTGTCAGACTACAGTGGCCACCAGACAGTAACAGTGTGGGTGTAAACGTCCATTCATTGAAATGATGAATTTTTGAAGAATGCTGACAACTGAAAATCTTGAAAAAGTCCTGACTATGTGCACTGCATTTTTTCAAGCCACCCGGCAGCTAGTGGTTAATGTACAGTGCTGGTAAAAAGCCTGTGGAAAACAAAATCGATAGGGCCAAAACAGAGAGGGCTATTTGAATCTGTGAGCACATTCCATGCCGATTGTATGGACCATGTTGGAATCTGTGAGCAAGTTCCATGCTGCATTGTATGGAACATGTTTAATCCATGAGGAAGTTCCATGCCGCATTGTATGTATGTGCCTCATGGCCTGAGATCATGCATGGAGTCAAGATGCTCAATTAAGGCATACTAAAAACCTGGAAAAACGAAAATATGGGATCACTCCAAAAAAAGTGACTTTTTATTGTCATAAAGTAACAGACTGAAAAACAATTAAATGCAAGAGATGCCCTATAGAGTACCGAAGTGAATACTTCACATGCACAATTAATGTGTAAAAGGCATCAGGGCGAGAACCAGCGCGTGAACCAACACGCGCGCGTACTCCATTCGTTTGCACTGCACTTTCTGGTTCACAGTGACGTCACACTTCGGTACCCTATTAGAATGTTGCTTCAAGAAGAAGTTTTAGGCTCAGTTCAAGGACGGATTTCAGAAAGCTTAGTTCAAACACGGATTTCAGAAAGTTTGGATTTTTAAAAAACATTTCCACTTAAATATACTTATTAAAACTTTTGGTTGGATAAAAATTGCCGAGTGGGGCAAGATGGGTGTGAGGTGGGGTCGGGAAGGGTGGGGAGGGGTGAAATAGGATAGGATGGGATGGGATAGCGAGGGGTGGGGTTGCTAATGGTTAGGAACGAGGTGGGGGGGGGAAATGGATAATGGTTGAACGGGAAATGGGTCCTGTCAGGTTGGGTCAAAGGTGGGCTAAATGCCCAAGACAAAAGCATTCCCAGCATGCATTCAGCAAGCAGTATTCCCATTCTAGCAGTATAAGCCAGGAAAACCAGGAATTGTTACCACACTACCTGAGGAAACCGTACAAGCTGAAATGAAGGTGGTGTACAAGACATGCGGGGGGAAAAAATGAAAAGATGGAACAACGTTATCTCAGGCGGGGACACGTAACATTGAGAAAAACAAACACAAGGCAACACAGAATGTGAGAGGATTTGGGCAAGGGTTGTCTACAGCTGTTAGGATTGTGCTTCAGATGTGACGGTATATAAGTGACTGCCACTGGCCAATTATGTTTTCAAAAATTGTTTCTTCTGCTTCGTGGCTAAGGCAGGTCCTAGAAAGTCTATGAGGAGGGTTTTAATGATTTTGCAGGATTCAGGAAGATTCAGACTGGCCCGTCTTCATGTGGATGGATGCCCTTTGAAAGTAAACACTGGATTCCTGCACAGTGAAGAATTTGGAGGATTCGAAAAGGGCTCAAAGGAAAATGAGTTGGGGGGAAATCCAGGTTCCAAGAGCATGTTGGAAACAGTTTTATATCACATGTCGGCTACTTTGTTCCTGGGTCTGTCTCAGCACCCCAATAAGCCTACACAGTCGTATCAGATGGCTTCATGAACTTTGGAAACTGATCAATTCTCTGTAATGCCCATGGCTGGACAGATGCAAAGTATATTCAAACACTTTATTTTCCACACCCTTGTAACACCAGCAAAAGGTCCATGGGTACTTGGCATCTATGCCGTAGCACTGTGGTGGAACTCGCGGTGCCACTTACTTAAAAATTGGAATGGCATCCACTTGTTTGATCTGCAGAAGCCCCGGGTCGTTTTTCAAATGCCGCCCCAGAATGTCTTTACCATCCACAGATCGGATCGGTTTCTTGGGAAATGGCTGAGGGTCCACGCGGGGCTCAGCAGCCTCTCCCCTTGCCCTGTTTGGGATGGGGTCTTTATCAGGGTTCTGCCCCTCCTGCGGGGGTGCCTTCAGCCCGTCCAGGTGGCCATGCCGCCGATGCACGCCCCGGGGAACGTCAAGCTCGTCGTCAGGGGCGGCAAAGACCCGCTCCTGGTACTCGGCCCCCTCATCGGCAGCTCGGTCCTCGCTGTCGTCTCCCTCACGGGGTCGCTGCTTGGCATGCTGCTGCAGGCGCGACCGGTCCAAGGAGTTGCCCTCTCCTTGGGCTTTGTCGTAGTCGGCCTCGTGTCCGAACCGGTCAAAGCGTCCGTCCACGGCACCCGGGTCGCTGTTGGCATGGTTCACGATGATACCCTCGCCCCTTTCCTCGCTGTCCGCGATTACTTTCTGCATAGCGTAATCACCCTGCTTGATTTCTGCCTCGCTCAGTTCTCGTATGTCTTCTGTCATCCAGATTCCGTGAAGCTCATCTTTCATAAAAGAATTTTACAAAAAAGAATTTTAAATTGAATCCTGCTTTTCAAATAAATTTTTACAAAAGAGACTTAAAGCCAGACGCAGCAAATACAAAGTTCAATGAAAAACTTGCTTATCTCCGTTCCTTTTAAAGCCAGCAACTAAGGCTTCAGTTCTTTGTGAATGACAGAAAAAAGAAACCTGAGAAACTATGACATTTTTGTCTCATTTCTTTTCAATATTTAGTGATACTTCCTTTTCCACATTGACTAAAAAACGAAATTGGTCAGAATGAGTACACATTTTACTTTTCCCTTCTTTTTCATCTCCATATTTGTTCCAAACTACATTTCAACATTTACAGTGCCCCTTCAAGAGTGCCACCGTACTGAATTCAATTCCAAATCAAACAAAACACAACAGAAACAAGGTATTTCACTGTTCTGACAAATGCTAGCCAAATCAAACAAATATTACCTCTTGTGGTATCCTTTTTCTTGAAATCCATCCATCCCTGTGTCTTGGGCTCCGTCAGGAAGATCTGAACTGTGTAAGGGAACGGTTCCTTGACTCCTCTCTGAAACAGTACCAGTGTCCACAGGCCCGGCTCCATTGGACCACAGTTCAGAGTGTTCATGTACCGCACAGTGTCAGACTAAAAAAAACGAACTAAAGGTTAGAAATCACATTTTTCACATCGGACAACAAAATACAAAAGATTGAAGTGCTGATGGGGTATTTAAACTAAAAAGAAATTAGCAAAAATGATGGGCTGAAACTTACTACCATCTTTTTTTTGGATATGAAAGACACAATGTGTAGAAGCCACATCGCATGCCTGCACATGAAGCTGAGTACATATAAGTTTTCATTGGAATGAACACAAAATTAAATGGCTTGCCATAAGCAAAGAACAAAGGAAAGGCCAACAGTGCCCGAGCATATTTCAAGAAACTCCAGTTTTTCACACCCATGAAGGTATTTGCCCAAGCAGTCCCTGAGGTCACACATGAGTCACACAACATCTGGGCACCTGCACGCACACACATGCAAACAGTGCATCAAGTTGTGTGACAGGCCAGGACACTGGTGAAGCACCCACAAGTACTATTTGAGTACAAGTGAAGCGTTCAACTGCATTACAAGCCCAGTTTACGTGAATAGCTTTTGCCTTTTAGAAAGGGGTGCTAGTAAATACTCATGGAACACCAATAAGTACTAGTCGAGTACTAGTGAAGTACTTGACCACGATACTGGCCCAGTTCAAGTGAATAACTTATAGCTTTGATACTGGGATGCTTGTGAGTACTTGTGAAGCACCAATGAGTATGAATAGAGTACCAAACAACAATACTAGCCAAGGGTCCAGAGGCCCCAGGGGCTGCAAATTGGTCCTACCTTCTGTACAGAGGCGTGGGGTGTCTTCCAAGTGATGATGACCTCTACCAAGCACTTGATCTCCCCCTGCGGGTCCACCAGGCTAGCGTTGAAGTGTAGCTTCTTGGAATCGGTGTTGAAAGGGAACGAGGCATAGGAGAAGCTGTCCGGGGAGCGACCCTCAAAACTGTCATCTGTTCGGCCAATCAAATGTGCAAGCTCATGAGATATGCCCATTACATTGTATTTCCATTTTTTCAAGTCTCCTTTTCACCCTACTTTTCAATTATCACTCAACCAAAAAATTGACGGGTCTGCACAAGTTTAACAAATGACATTAATGCACAGAGTAGAAAGTGAGGGTTAACGAAGCTGCTGTTTTCTAGATTCACGTAATACACAACCAGGTTTTTTTTCTCTACATCGTAAAGAAAAATGATACCTGCGATAACATACTTGGAGGCTGCGTCCGAATCTCTTGTCTAGAGCTAAGTCTAGGTCTTTGCTCCATTGGAAATGCGTAGAGATGTGTAGACAACAGACCTAGCCGTAGCTCTGGAAGCCCGTTTCGGACACGGCCAGAGACTCGGAACCAAGCCAAGCTGGCTAGTCGGCCATGGCTGTCTGGCCAGCTTGGCTTGTGCTTAAGCCAGCTGGTCAACACGGCCTGCCTCCTACAATCAGTAATCTAGCCCCTCCCTTCCCTACACGCACAAGTACATCCGGTCATTAACTGCTTTCCCTCCTGGGCCAAAGTACTGTGTTTTTCCTTTCTTACTCTGCTATAACACCCTCCCACACACTAAGCCGTATGTGCTTATTTTCGAGGAGCAGTTTCAAAGAAGGACCCTCGGGGACAGGACAACTCCTGTCTTCCCTCTGCGAATCTGTCTTCGGTGGCAAAGCCTTTCAGGCCCTCAAACCAAATCCATCCGGTGAGCCACGCGACCACCCGTCACACAAAGCCTTACCCGGAAGACCTTCCACCTCGTTGCACGCTGGTGCCTGCATGATCTTCTCGTTAATATTAATGAATGAAGCCATGTAGAGCGAAGCACTGCCTGCCTCCTCCGTGGGTTGAGCGAGCCCTCCTTTCACTTGCGTTTTCCTATCAGACAGAGCACAAACCTTCTTCAATGGAACAATAAAACAACCCCTTTTTCACTGCTGTGGGCGTGTGGATTTTGTGACAGAGATAGGAGGTTGCCAAGTGACGTCGTTGCTGAAGACTCCGTTAAGTTTATCCTTACCCCGATTCGCCCTGTTTTGTCGTCAGATATAATCCTTTGATGTGACCTCGGCTGAAACACTGAGTTCGACTCTGTGGAACCTGTGCAATTCATGAGCAAAAAAATTCTATGATTTGAAAATAAATTCATGTTTATAACTAATAAGGCTCCAACTTTTACGGTTCCTGAACTCAAATATATATTTACATCACATCAATGCATCTTAATGTCATGTATGAGATGCATCCTACACGTAGCTGTCTACCTGTCAATGTGAAATTTGAAAAGTATACTCTTTCAGATTTTCGATTGACAGAGGATTTGGGGAACAAAGATAGACTTTACTTACAAATGAAGCTCTCAGAACTCTTCTCTCACCAGTTTTAATTTCCACCTGAAGAAGCAAACACAAGCAACCGAGAAATGACAACTCTTGGTTATTAGCCATTGCATTTTTTTTTTACTTTAAATATTAAGCACTGTAACAGCACACATAAAGATGAACAATGGGCCACTAGATGTCGAATGATAATATAACAAACTTCTTCAGTGTGAAGGCCCTTTAATAATTTCAGCGTATGATAATTCTTTTTGAAAAGAATTGCAACATGTATGAGTCCATTTTGAATAAAAGATCATGGAATAACAAAAATGAAGTTTTGAAATCTCGGCTCAAACTTGGCGTATTGACACTCATGTTAATCAGGCGCCAGGACTTGTTTAAAGAAAAAATGCAGCTCTTTGCAAAACAGTCCCGATGGCAAATATGACTTCAGTCGCCCCTCCACAAATGCAAATATCACTTGATTGTCTTCTGTTCCGGGCTTCGTTGGATTTTGAAAGGGCATGCAATTATTGTGTTTGTCTTTTGGAGTGCAGGGATTTCGATATGCCTCTCAATCTCAACAAACAGGCTAGGAGTCGCACTGATGACCCACTCAGACGGGAATGCTCATTTGGGCTCGGGAGACAGCAAAGGCACGCCCAGGCATACGTGGGGGAAACTGAAAATAATCCCTGTGCGAATCAGATATGGCCGTGGTCTTGAAGGAAATTCAAAAAAAGTCATCCAATATTCAATAGCTGATTCTTGAACAGTTATGCTGTAGAATCCTGGCCGACTGGGTTCAAAATCGTTGAGAGTTCTCTGTGATTTCAGGGGTAAACCCAACAGTAGCTGATAAATTCTGTCATTCCGGGGACCATTGTGTGAGAAAACTGGATCAGGAGAGATGAGGGCACTATTTCCCCACTATCCCACCCTGAATAAACCCCAAGACTCCTCCCCAAATAAAAGAGACTCCGGTGAACATCGTGCTTTCACTGTGCAAGAATTCTGCTTGCCGAGTAGGCCTACAGCTGTTCCACAAGTGGTTCGCCTTAATTTGCTACCGGTGTTAAATGACGCTTAAACGAAAAAAAAAAAAAAAGGCAAATAAATGAGAAGTGCCAGTCGGCTCTGCATCACCTTCAGACAGTGAATAGCAAATCCATGTCAAGCGCTCTCAGAAAGCCATGCACAGAGAAAACACGTCGCAGAGGTAGTAAAAATAACAAGAAATGTAAATTATTCCTGGTCCGCGCATTACAGTCTGACGTAAATGGGGACTTTGGGAATAGGGCGGTTTATGGGTGGAAAGGAAATCTAGAGCTACATAACTGAGGGTGACTTAATGGCAACTGGGAGGGAAACGGCAGGGGGGTGGGGCCACTGAAAGATGTAGCGGGGTGTGGAAGGATTTTGGGATTTTTTTTTTTTAATACCAACCAGGGAGAAGTCGATCCAGTAGCGTAGGTCCTTGACCAGCCGATTCTTGGTGTTGTAAACGGGACGGCAGCAGGGGTCTAACGGTAGGACCTGAGGGATGATACGCAACTTTCGGATCTCCTCCACCTCCACCTCTGAGGTGTAGAGGGCGCCGTACTCTGACTGCAGGGCCAGATTCACCAACTGCCTGTTGGAATCCCCCAAAAGTATGCAACACCCCAATATTAATTTCTGGTAGTAGTCAAGCATGACGTGCAACGCTGACATTACGCTTTTTTCATATTAGTTTCACTGCATAATTATTTGTAACTCTTGGTAACCTTGGTTATTTTCTTAAGCTTTGAGATACAATTTAAAAAAAGAGAAAGCTCTCTTCCTACGAGTCCACAGGCCAAAGATGATCTCCATTGCACTTAATTACTTTTAATTTTAAAAGAACTGACTTCACCAACATTTTTGGAGGATCATCTCTTTAAAAGAAGTTCTAGAAAGACCCTGAGGATGACAGACGATTGAAGGATCCACTCTGGATCAGCACACAACAATGCACTCACTGGCACATTGTTTGCCAACAGTGGCGAATCCGGCCTCATGCCTAATCAAATGCCAAGTGCATGACCCTAGATCTCAATGCGCTTAACGGATTAATTATCCCCCGGGTGAAACAGAAAACATGTTCACTGCCGGGTTACAGATGTCTCATCGCTTCCAGGGGGGGTAGATGCGTGACCAGTATAAGCCGCTGTTTACGGCACAGGAGCACAAGCTCCAATGCGTAGGAAGCAGCGTTCTGCTTCACCAAACACGGTAACACACTGAAACAGTAATCAATGACTCTTGGCATAACCAGGGAAAATTATCTTTTTCAAAGGGATTCTTTCTTTCTGCTAAACCATTTTTTGTAACTAACACTGGCTGTTATGAGTATGAAGCCCACTGTTAAAGTGGTTTCAATCTGACCAACAGACCAAGGCAAGGTTTGTCGGTCAAGTGGTAAGACGTCCAAACGGGATAACAGTTGTGGATTCAACTCCCATCCCAGTGGAAATCATGAATTTTTCCCCCCTTTTCACAGGTTGCCATAGAGCATAAGGCACACAAGGCTTTAATATTTGTGAAAGGCAACACCTAGGGATAGAATTTACATGAACCATACACCAAGAAACCACCCATTCTGAAATCAATGGTGAAATCTACAGGGGAATTCGTTCTGAAGAATGCACAAATTGAAAAGAAAAAAATTTCAACGAGGACGTAGTTGCACTACAGCATCTCCGTAACATCTTTTCTCAAACCTTTCAAACAGTGTTTGGCAGATGGAGTTGGATTCGATTTTTTAACCCAAACCAGTCAAGCAGCTCACTGGAGGCCAACTTCTCTAAACGTGCCAGTACAAAAAAGGAAAGCAACTCAACGGGAAAAAAAAGTCCCCCACTGGGGCGAGGTTCTTTTCAAAACATAACAGGAATGAGCTGTACACCTGCCTCACAGCTGCTGTCGTTAATTGTAGTGGGCCGCTGTGGCCTGAGCATGCACATGCTTCAATTTTTTTTTCATTTCTTCCTCACTGGCCAACAGACAGAGACGACGAACCCTCTCCACAAGGCTCTTGAAAGATTTCTTTTACATGTGACAATAATTTGCACACAGGAAAGGATTATCAAACACACTGATATGACTTTAACACTGTCCACAGAATCACAAGAATCCCCATACACAATAGACCGTGTATCAAGTGAATACAAAAAAGCATGTGTGTTTAGTTACGTGGCATTGTGTGTCTGTTTGTAGAAATATTGCTGAATCAAAACAATGTAATGAAATTTACCGTTAACCACTTCGCGCTGGGCTTTTATGAATGTTGATGATACTGGGATGGGATAATTTTCATTTTTATCTGTTTTCAAAATTCTTTAAAAATTCATATCTTCATTTACTGGACACTTACACCCACAATGGTTTCTACTCTACTCTGACAGACAACACCTATTGACGCTGGAGTATTTCAGCCAGGCCTGCTGCCTTGTAAAAAGAGCCCAGATTGTGTACTGTTACTTAATTTTCTTTTTTTCACAAACCTGGCACAGTGCGCTGCTGACCTCTTTTCAACAGGGGCCAGATTAGCGTGCAGCAGTACTGTGTGGCTCATCGCTGTGGTGGTGGAGCGCTTTTGTCCCCGGTGGTAATCCACTCGCGCTAAATGCCCAAACTATGGTATACTGTTTCAAAACAAGGCTGGATTATCTCCAATATTGAGAATGAAAAAATGTTGGTAATTCCCAGCAGCCTGGTCTTTTGTTACGAGTACAGTCTTTTGTTACAAGGTCCAGTTCCCTTTGTACGATTTTGGAGACCCCAGCCACGCGTATAAAGAATACGTGTCTGGTGCCACCAACCCCTGCCGCAAGTGGTTAATAACAGACTACTTGGGGGTGCCTGTTGCAACCTGGCTCATGCACACTGCCCGACAAAATGTCTCAAGGCACACAGTGTGTAAGAATGTCATAAAGAAACTGGAGTTAAGGTTGGTTTGAATTTGAACAACTTCGGCAATAAACCACTGAGCATGCCCAGTGGGCGGCACCTACCTCACAAACTCCTCGCTGATGTGTGCCTTCAAGAGGTCTGAGTAGTACTTCCCCGAGCTCAGCTCCAGGGCAAACAGCCGGACGGGGTTGTTGACGGAGGCATCAAACTTGCGCGCGAAAAACAGAACGTGGGCCAAGTTGCCTATCGTGTCGATGTCCTGTGCCTCAAAGGTCCCTGGGCCCTATGAATACGAAGGGTTTTTTTTCAGTAAAATCCCCATAGGAAAACAATAAAACACATAATAAGGCACAAAAGCAAAGTATTATAATTTCTGGTTATTTGTTTCTGGTAACGAAACCGAGCATTCTTCGAAAGTGCCCCAGGCAGTGTAGCTCACAAGCCTGAAGAAATCTTTTGAGAAGAGACAAAAAGAAGCAACAACAGCTTTACAGGTGGGAGGAAAACCCCAGAACACCGTCGTGGGTAAACCCAAGGAGTCAGGTAGGGACTAAAATCCCAATTCATGGATGGATCAAGCTAGGAATCAAACCTGGGCCGCATGGGTGAAATATAAGAAAAGAATCACAACACCAACCTGACTTCCCCTGTGTCCTTGTATAAGGTCATTTTTCTTTCCTTTTCAAGTGTTCACATTTTCTTTGGAAACCTTTACTCAGGCCGCACAAGAAATAATAGACATCAAACAAGGGAAAAAAAATTCTTCATAACTATTCATGAAATTTGTATGCACATGCTTGACAAGAACCAATATGATGAAATGACATGAACACATACCTGTCCACAGAAATCAATATCTTCTGTGTGACGACAGAAACCGCGATCGTCTTTGCGAGCAAATGACTTCAGGTGATGCAGGTTATAGTGAACATACGTCTCCCTGTTGACAAAGACAGGAGAAGAAAGGCTCAAATAAAAAAAAAAAATGTAAACAAGACTTATGACTTGAGAAAATATGGATCTGTAAAGGCCAAGTAGCGACGAATCAGATATGTGGCAAACAATTCTGAACAGTGAGTTCAAGAGAACGTTTACTCAATAAACTTAAATCCTAGATAACATCAACAACGACAAGCAAACCAAAACTCAAACAAATAAAGCAACCTTTGAGTTCACTCGAGTAAGGCACAGCAAGCTTCTTGCTTTAATATTTGGTTTCCTTACCTGTAAGGTGAGATCTTGAGCATGGATGCCATAAAGGACTCGTCTGGGATAATGCTGGTCATGCTGAAGAACTGGATGCTGTCCATCTTGGGCCCCCGCTTATGGCTGACCACCAAGTTGATGAAATCTCTGGACGGCGAGTACAAGCAAAGAGACAGTGCACTGATCATTCAGATCGCAGGTCATTACATTTGGTTGCCAAGAGACGGCAGCCACCTGAACATCTTTCTCATGCTCTTTCTCTAGCCCATACAACCCTGCCTGCATTTCAAGTGACTTACATGTAACAGATTTTTTCTTTTTTTCTCCCCCTGGTGGGAGCCTATTTACCTCTTTAGAGACTAATTTGATTGGATGCCATAACTACAGTGGCACCACCATGACACGCACATTTCTCAGCTTAACATCCACACGCCTTCGTCAACTCACGACACCCTATTGGTCAAAGAGGCATGCAACGCGCGCATACCACCTGTTCAAGGAGTAGTGTGCCACCTCAGTAATGCTTTCTAACGCTGGTTGTCGCATTACACTATTCATGCAGTTCTGTAACATAGTGTTTACCAATGCTGCAGTGGAGTCCATAAGAAAGAATATGAGAACTTCACCATGAGAAAAAGTACATGAGCTGTGCTCACATACAATGTTACTACACCTTATAAATATTCATGAGCAAATCGGAGCGTCTGGGAAGTAGAAATGATACGCGACCAGGTGACGTCATAGTGGTGAGTATCCACCTCACTGCCTTGCGGTAGTTTTTTTCTGGTAGCATCAAAAAATCCCTCTGGAATCCCTCTGTAGTTTGTGTCATGTAATCTTTACGAAACCAGTCTATCTGGAGTTGTATCCTAATAACCGTTACAGTAAAGATCCAAAACGAATGTCAGCACCACACAACTGAAGCCCTGTTTCTACGCACATCTGCATTCCACTATCATTACATGGAACTTTAGCAGCTGAGAAACAATAATGGCGTCTGTGAGTACAAGTAACATGAGATTTCTGTTTGAATATTTATGAGGTGTCGTAAAACAAATACAGCATGGTTTATTTGGGGAAAACAGTGGGAATCACTGGTCCCTCGACATAGGTCAGTTTGACCATGGAGGAATGACAGTATTATATTCAACTTAGCTCCAAAAAAAATCCAGGTGACTGCACAGTCGACGTAAGTCTTATCACTGCCAAACAAAAACACTCCCTTTTCATTACCTTGAAAAGATGGCCCACTGAGAAGCACTGTGCATGTCAGTCCATGCTGGCCTTCTCCCCCGCGTGGAGACATTGTACACGTGCCCGCCACAGCCATACCAGACGGTGAAGTCCGTGGGCTTGTCCGACCGGTCGTTCCAGTTGCCGTTCTGCCTCATGAAGTTGGAGCCTTGAGTGCGGAAGAGATGACATTATGCTGGTAATAAGTGACACCTGCTGTGCTGTCCCAACGTTTAAAGTAAATCCCCTCCTAAACGTATTCCATGGGTCAATTTGAGTTGTCATGGCAACAACCGTACTCATGCCTTAGTACGAATACAAGGTTCTCGTTCTTACACTGAAGTGCTTATGATTACGCATAAGAGCCCTTGTGTACAGTTTTGCCCCTTTCTGTCGTTCTGCTTACTTTATCAACTGTTATGCAAATAAAACATACCCCCCCCAGTACAAGCAGTAGTGCTTGACATCAAGGATCATTATGCAGTACTTGTACTGAAGATACTCATGATGAGACTGTACATGCACTCAAAACACCAAACTGCCTGTCCGCGTGGCGTCGGTACTTTCTCTCTGTCTATTTTTTTAACAGTAAGACAGGAGAGCCTTATCAGAGTATGCACACACTGAAAAATAGTGAATACAGCGCAATACAGCAAGATAAGAATAAAACTCTCATTCCTGTGTCCTCCTCAGACAATATTCCCATCTCCAACACTTGAACATGGCAATTATCCAACAGCCAAAATATCTGAACTCAATCAATGCGCATAACGATTAATTTCTCATTCTCATATTCTTGAGTTTGGTTTAAATTTGCACGTGCTATAACTGACAGAAGCCCCATCTTTGCAGAGGTTTAATATACATCCATACATGTAAGTTTACAGGTAGTAATTTCTTTACGTTTCTCTTCAGCAACCCCCTCAATACATTGTGTCACAGGAGCTGAAAAAGAAATTGGAGTTTCTGTCCTGCTTGAGGACACAAGAACTTGAACCGATTCATGAGTCATCCACATTTAATAACAGCCCTGCCTGTGATGTCAATGCCTGGACCGCAAGAGCTTTGTATGTCTCAGACCGAGCATTTTCTTGATACACGTGCTAATCCACAAAGCCACAGATTTCCGGGCTGACAGAATGATTTGCCAAAACTGTCTGCTCATCAATAGCCCATCATTTTGCAAATACATCTTACAGTAGTTATAATTCAAAATATGTCTATCATTAGCACTCTGAGTTATTTTTGTGTCTATCATGAGGCCGCGCAAGCAGTCACACCCACGTCACCGTGATGTATGAGGCGAGTTTTCACCGTGTAACAAATCCGGCAGATTTGCCAGACTTATGCATGAGGTGTTTTTTACATAGAGATGCATTTTGACCGCGCGCAGGTTACAGGCCAGATATGTCAGCGACTACGGACAGGCAATCGTTTCCTCCAACTGATTCCCTGGACAGTGGGAATACTCCATTACTGAATCAGCAAGGCATCTTCACCATTTTTATATCCAACAGGAAAGATGCAAAAGACCCAAAAAAAAAACCCCAAACGGTTAACTTGTGAACCAACCAATTTGGACTGGATCAGTTTGCATATATATCAAAGTGACAGCGTTTTCACACAGTGGAAAATGGAGAGAAAAAATTTGATATCCTCACTTTCCCAGAAACAATTTCATCCACATGTGATTTTTCAGGCACACAGTGTTCTTCATTTTGAAATACCAGTGAAGTGCTTAATTTGCTCTTGGCAATGAAAAAAAAACCAAACAATAAAAAGAAACAGAACAATAACTACACATTCCACCTGTGAAACTGAGGTTCTCTTGAAATATTTCCATGAATTCTATCCAGGTTGCTAAGCTGTCCCTTCAAATATGTATACATTACAGGAGGTTAATGCCAGCGCATTCTCTCTTTAAATCCAACCATTAGCTACAGCACAGAAATACTTGGTTTGCGGAGAAGGGTTACCAGCTAGAATGTCACACATTTTATATATTCCTCTTAACTGGTACTCAGCTGCTCTTTGCATAGCCCGAAAATTCATAACACATTCCAACGACCTAATCCTGCACTGTTCAAGTTCACTTTCAGGACATTCCATCGAAGCAAGCTATGACTTCTTCCCGATTCCTTTTGGGCAAATACATGTATGCAAATCTCAAACCTCCCTCCGCCATACATCTCAAGACATGCTCACAAGGAAGTGATAATGTTTACTGTGCCGGACTGCGATATATCCACCACACTATAAACAGGGTTGAACTGCGAAGCACTCCACGAAATATCAAGATAACAACAGCATCCCTCCGATAAGTGCTCCCCGTGCCACGATATCATCGGACGCTACCCGCGACTCAATCCATTAGGAGTCATTAGGAGTCCGCTGATAAGGGCTTGGACCCTCCAATGCACTCCCAGCCTAGGGTGTTGGCATTTCCGGCTGACTGGAAACAAAATGCACTCTCCGAGCATGAGCACTTCACGAGGGACTCGGCCAACGAAGAGGAAGTTAATCCTGCACGACACTTCTTTCAGTTACATGTATTTTCGCCTCTCGCAGCTCAGTGGCCAGGTGTAGGAATCGAGTCCCTACAAGTCCACTGCAGGTCGGTTTCATGCCAAGTCACAAGCCATGCAAATGAAGCATGACAAAAGCATTCCATTCTCATTCTCTTCACCTGTTACTTATGACTGGTCTTGTCAAAGGACTTGTGGGTGGTCTTGTGACAAGACTTGGGACTGTGAGAGGGTTTGTGCAAGACTCAACTGCAATACATGTAGCTTCAGAAGTTGTCTCTCCTGTCTTTGACTCAAGTTAAGCCTTTTACATTTTCACTGTGTTACTTCACTGTCACCTGACCTTTCATTTTAAACTATGCATGGAAAAATAGTCAGAAAGATGAATAGATCAGATTTACTTAGTACGTCTCAAAACCACTAAATTGCCAATTAAGGCCAAGAACAAGCAACAACACAGAACACTTCAATTTAATAAAATTCAAAAAACCCCATTCCCACAATGAACTGGTAGAACTGACCTCTGGCCGATGCCAACATGGCTGCCACGTCGTCCACATCCCTGATTGGCAGATCTGATCCACTCAGGTTGATGACAAAATCCCAGACCCCCATCCTGAGTAACTCCTCAAAACCCTGCAAAGGAGGGCGAAAAAGAAACAGGGAAAAGTAATGTTAGAGAGGCCGTGCCTAGACCAGGTTTCCGAGGCCCCCTAAATAGTGACTGGGCCTGCAGCTTTTTGCAGAAATCTATCCAATGGAAATAATTGGAAATTCCGAGTCTCTTCTGAGAAATTCCATGCAAATGTCATACTGGGCTTCAAATTCTGTTTTTCACAGATAATAATGGAGTTGGGTACTCCTGTGGAGGCAGTGATGCTGGCAGTCAACATTAGCAGATACCAGTAGCAAAGCCCTATCTTTACAATATGTATCTCATGTGTGATTACATGAGTCAATCAGTTTTATTTCCACATCAAACCCCCCCAGAAGGGAGGTTGCAGTGGTACTGGCCTGTAACCATGGCAACCCCCATAGCTTTACCTGATCCTTGCAAAGTCCACATTTCAAAAGAGATCTCTATGGTAAAGGGATGATTTTGATGTACTAGTACAAACATTACTTGAGTTCAGGCCCCAGCTTACTACAACCACATGACAGAACATGAT